GTGTAGGCACCTCGGAATGATTGTGTTAAGCTAGCACTAAGTCCCTCCCTCATCCACCTTTATTCTTTTCTTTACAATAAGGCTTTCAAATAAGTCATGGTTGTACGGCAGTGAAGCATTGGGGTTGACCACTGATGTCATGCTGTCGTTGATGATGATGATGAGTCACAGAGTGTTCCACAAGGTCGTGCCAGAATGTCCGTGAGGGGCGAGAACCGTTTCGGTTATTAGGGACGGCTGGCACCCGAAGAGTATTATTCAGATTTATAAAACTCTTCACGGTTCGACATGGCACCAATCAGTCCGCTTCATAATTAGGAACACAAGAAGGCCACTTGACAAAATTGACATATCCAGTTCTTTGTGCGTATATCTATCATAAGTGTAGCATAGAGTGATCTTAACACGGCTATCTTTGATTAGTCGCCATTCTCATGAGGAACTGCGGAAGTCAGTGAATTATAAACACAGGATTCCTTTAGCAAGGCGTAGATGCATGTAAGTGCTTGACTTGACTTCCAAGATGTGGGCCACGCTTCGTCGGTTGGTTGATTGACGATGACGAGTGACTGGTACGTCCAATATGCCCCTCTGTTTTTTTAATGTCACGAACTGCTTTTCTAGTCCTATCTTCATTCAGATTTCTCTGGCCGTTTTATTACAGGCAGCAGTTTCGTCTTCGGTCGCATCTCTGTCATGGCTACCGTGTATCTGCAACAAAAAGATCCGAACCAAACTATCCAGAACTAGTGCTGTTCTACAGTAATATGCTGAGGATAGTGAACCTCCAGCTTTCAACTCCAAACGGATGCCAGCGGAGTAGCGCTACAATGCCTACGGTCGTTAGCTCCTTGTCATCTACTTAACGATGTCCCACTTCCGACAAAAGCTGGATGGTCAAAAATCCATTGTGTTTATCTATCAAAACCCCCTGGTATACGCCTTCCAGGAGGCGTTTGATAGGCACTTCTATAGGGAACCCCGTCAACCAGAATATATCGCACAGCTCACCATCGACATACGGCACGTCCCTGGGTCGAAAACACTGCAGCTGACACCGTTGCGAATACAAGTGCTAGCAAATTCTTTGCCATCCACAACCCACTTACACGCCTGCGAGGACGTCTTGGCTCTTAGCTCCTCCCTATCTAGGACGTGTGGTGTACGAAAGGCTATGATCTAACCCACCCAGGAAGGGGCACACTGTTGGGCTAGTATCGCAATGTTTTGTGCGGTCCAAAGTATAAGATATCCACGGGTGGACTAACACGTATCTACCCTATCAACACACTAAGGTACATCTTCCATACCAGATGGAAGATCCTATAACGTACACGTATATACCGTCGACTCCTTAAAGCCACCTAAAGGCACTACGTGTTAACTAGCGAAAACTGGTGGCCAGAAGCAATACTAACTCTTGACTGCAACCTAGAAACGATTACCCGCACATTTCTCACTGACTGCGTTGCTTAGTTTGGTTTAGGGATCCCATTTTGAAGCAACTACCGACGGCTTACTCAACACATCAAACCATGAGCTCGACAAGGTAACAATAGGTCATCCAACAGCTAGTCAGCCGATCGAACGCTTTCACCCTCAACTTAAAATAGCGCTGCGGGAGATCAATAAGCATTCTTGGTGGGGAACTCTACATTTGTTCTTTTAGCTTCAGAAACACATCAAAAGCCAATCTACGAGAGAGTTGCCCTACAGATGCTTCTTCCGACTACCTGGTGAGGTCGACACCTCCAAAGCTTCGTCGGCTTGTGATTACCGCGACTAAATTACCCTCTGCGAGACCATATGCGCCCGCTCAGGTCAGTCACCAGCAGAAAACAATCGACCCACTTCATCTACTCGAGGCTCCATACACATACTCACCCTTCTTCGTTAGAAACAATGTATAGCTACTATCTTAAATTCCATGAATCAGACCCCACAGTATCGTTTGTAGAAATATTTCACTGATAAATTAGGAAAGTGTGAATTGATGTCAGTCAACAGACTGAAGCCGTCACTTTCGGAGGTAGCCGGCTGAGGTGCATAAAAGCAGGACTGAGTGCGGAGGCACTGCAAACGCAATCCTGCAATCCCACGGTCCCTTGCCCGTTAACCGCGCAGTCAACTACACTGTCCACGAGCCGTACAAACATCCTCGGCCAAGAATTCCACCCACCCGTTCGCTTCACTGACTACGTCAATGAAGCAGTAATCCCTGTCACTGTTCATGTCCGTGCCGTTTTCTTGTTACGTTACTTTCAGATCCCGTGTGCTACATAAATCTCTTTTTGTTTCCGAGTTTTTCCCTCTCAAGTGTGGGTGTTTCTGTGGTTGTTCCCTACGATTTGGTCATCCGAAAAGCCATGGAATCCGAAAAAACCAGCTGGATCGTGGTTGGACGTACGATACTTGGTCACGGAAGCACGAAGAAGGGCACCAGTTACCAGAATTTACTACGTTATACACGGACCGAAGGGCACAAACTGGACAGCTGAATGCACGATGTGCGGTTGCTGGATCTCCATGATGAAATGGAGCCACTGGTTTCGACAAGTGCACTCATTTGGTCAGTTCATCCAAGAATACTTGCGCCTTCTACGCCTCTTCGAACATGAGAACGATGTCGTCTGCATATTCCAGATCGACAAGGTTTTCTTCACAGACTATTTGAACACCAGGGTTTTGGAGACCCTCCAGCGTTCGTCTCATTATTTCATCGATCACGAAGTTAAAAAGGAATGGAGAGAGTGGGCATCCCTGACGGACACCGCTTTGTGTGCGGAAGCTTTTGGAGAGCTCTCCGTACACTCTCACACGTCCGGAAGTCTGAGAATACAAAGAACGTATTATGTTTGCAAACTTCCGGGGCATTCTTTGGTGGGCAAGCGTCTCAAGAAAAACAGATAAGGCAACCGAGTCGAATGCGTCTCGGAAATCCAGGAATACTAGAATTGTAGGTTGCTTATACGTATGGCGTTGTTCTAGCACCTGACGTAGTGTGAAGATTTGGTCGACACAACCCCCACCAGGCCGAAATCCCGCTTGCTGCTCGCGAGTCAGCATCTCACGAGCCACCGTAAGGCGACGAAGCACAACTGACGCCAACAGTCTCGTTACAACCGGGGTCAAGCTGATCCCCCTGTGGTTACCACACTCACTACGCACCCCTTTTTGAAAATGGGCACTATCACCGATTCTCCCCAG